ATGTCGTCGGAGACGCCGATAGTCATTGAACTGTAGATGTACGGATAAGCCATGTGTAATGAACGGCTGTTTCCCTTCACGCAGATCCATCATCCCACATGACATGGATGGTAGAAACTACATTGACCGGATTCTTGAAGAAGCTGTCTATAGATCAGGTCGAAGGGGTAGACCGCAGCGTCAATATATGGTCAGGAACCCAAAAACGATGACTGGTACACTAAAAAACAAAGCATTTCAAATTTTGTGACATCCAGCAAACTTATGTTTTTTTTTGTCAAAAAAATTGGTCGGCCCTTCGACACAATGAACGTGCCAGGAGGGGCATTAACATATTATCGACCGGTAAAGATAGAATCTTTCTCGGAGAACCTCAAAATTAGCCTGGCGGACATGATCACTGGCACACTAACGATGAGCTATCAGAAACTACACCTCACATAGTTTCGTACTATGAATGCGCCAGGAGGGGCATTCGCATTATCGACCGATAAAGATAGATTCTTTCTCGGAGGACCTCAAAATAGCATCGACCGGTAAAGATAGATTCTTTCTCAGGGGACCTCAAGATAGATTTCATGCTGCACGCGTTCCAATCTCGGTCCCACAATCCCAAGTCCGAGTCCCAGGTCCAAGTCCCATCCTAGGTCCCAATCCCAAGTCCCATTTCGTGCTCCACTAGTGGTTCACTGGTTCTAGCCACTTGTACAATGGTCATGGAAGAGTAGCCTTCGTTACTACCATGATTGTAAAGGCCTGGGCAGGCATGTTAGGTAGATTGTGGTAGGAAGTCCCTAGTAGATAGCAATTACGGGTTGAAGAGTCTGTCTTGGGAAGGCACCGCACACTTCAGCCAGCATCACCCGAGTCATTAGGCCAGGTGTCAGTCAATTGCAAGCAGCCAAATCCAAGAAGGTTGTAAGCTTCCGAAAGCAGGAAACAAAGGCACGGAGACCAACCCAAAACCAACAAAAGATGTCTGGAAGGCGGATTAGCAACTGTGAATGCCCAACAACTGTGCCATAGTGCGACGTGGATGGAAGGTGGGCACTGGAGCAGGAGCAAGCGCCCAGCAGGGAGGCAGCCATAGCTGCGGAGGTCAAGGGTGAAACGACGCAGCTCTAGTCAAGGTGCAATCCAAGTGGAGTACAGTGAGGGACAATGGTGAGTTGAGCGATGCAACCTCTCACACACACACACACACACACGCACACACACACACACACACACACACAGACACACACACACACACACACAGAGAGAGAGAGAGAGAGAGAGAGAGAGAGA